GAAGTAGATTGCCCAACCTTCCTTCCGAGGAGTGACTGGTGGGTTTGAACCACTAACCTTCTGGTTAGCAGTCAGATGACTTAGGCACTACGCTACCAGAGCTCCCACAGATGAGGCAGTGGCTATAGTTTTACAAATGTGGCCCTGTGGCAGGTAATGGAAACAGTGAACTAGCCTAGCAAGTGCAGGGGTGCCCAGCTATTTATCACACTTGCAAAGAAGTGTTCCTAGCCCACAGTCAGCTGAGATTGAGGCTCTGTTGGAGTAGTAGCTTGGAGGAAAGGCACAGGTGCTTTGGGAAAGCATCCATTTCCCCAGAAGCCAAGACAGCTTTGTAACTAGCTGGCATTTTCATTTGAGAAGCCAGAAGAATTTGCGCTTTTTTTTTTTTCCCCCTCTATGTGATGGTGCATAGATTCATCTTCAGTATCTTGTTTTCTTTTAGTATTCCTACAGCCTGTGGCTACGTAGTTAGTTCAAACAGATACATAACACTGACTTTTCCTATTATGTGGAAGGCAGTCAGATAACAAACCAAGGAAAAGAAATCAATAACTCTCAACTTAGTGTTAGTTTAAGCACTGCTATTTTCTTCAGGGTAGATGGGACAGAAGAAAAGGAGTTAACAGAAGAGCTGTAGGCCTTTGAGTTCTATATGACATACCCTCTCTTCTTTATTCTTTATTGGGGAATATGTATTTTTTGATTAATGTAATTTATTCATGAAATTTTCTTTTTCATTTCTTGTCCTCTCTAATAGGAGTCTTAAGAATTGACTCTGGAAGTTGTTCAGCTAAACTTAGGCATAGATTTCCTATCAAACTCATTTGGTTTTCCCTTTTTTAAAATTTACCTATATTAAGTTCTTTCTTAGGAAGAAAACACACATACACACATGGATTTTTTTCCAGCATCTGTTTCTTATTGGTAGTCAAATAATATCAAAGAACAGTTTCTTCATTTGATGTATAACATCACACTGTCAATAGTGCTAATTGATGGAATACTTAAAATGGGAGTTCTATACATCTGATTATATTATTTTTTAAAAAAACTTAAGTTGGAAATGTGAAGAGGATCCTGGCATTTATATAGGAAGTTTTTGCTGAAAATGCAAAGCCAGAATTGTGCCCCACCAGAATGAGGTGGCAGCAGATACCGGGGTGAGCCCTGGAACAGAAGCCAACAGAATGAAATTCTAGCCCCATTTCCACGAATAATTAGTTTTGTGACTTTTGATAAGCAGTTTAACCACTTTGGCTCTTGTTCTGGTTACCTAGTGCCACTCTGACAGGACTATACCACAAATAGGATGGCTTTAACAAACAGGAGTTTATTCTTAAAATGTGGAGGGTTTAAAGTCCAAGTTCAAAGTGCCAGGCTCTAAGGGCTGTGTGAAAGCCCCTCGACCTTGGGCTTCAGCTCTGCCTCTTGCTCCCTGCCCACTGAAGCTAAAGGCATCTCTTCACTCAGGCGCTACTGGCTGCTGAGCCTAACAAGCCCAAGGTTGACAAATAAAATGACACAGTCCCAACGTTACCAAACCACACGGCATGCCATTAACTTAAGTCCATTGTAAGTCCCAAGGTTGGCAGAGGATGGCAGGCTGCTGAACAATGAAATGACATGGCTACACGCAGGGTCCAAGCATGCCATATGCTGGAGACCATTCCCAAAGCTGTTTCTTATATACGGGAAGCAGACCACATACCCAAATGCAGCTACTCAGCTGCTCCCAGTAGATTCCACCATGGAATTGATTACCAGTCTCATCATGGGGAATAATACTACATCTAGCTGCCCAGCCGCTCAACCAAGCCCAGCCAAGTTGACACACAAATGTAACCACCACAGCTCTCATCTGAAAACTGAAGGTTTGGGACTTCAGAAGTTTCTGATCACTGAGAATAATAAGGTATTTTCTTCTATTCATTTGCCTAATGGTGATATTCACTCATTTGGTCATTTCCATTAAGGAAGCTTGGTACATACACTAGGAGACAAACTCACCTTTTCAGGAGCTTTGTGGTCTGGTGGAAGGAAACTGGCCCAGTGACAGTGGTTCTTCATTAAATGTCAACAGTGGTAGAAGGCTTAGAAAGGCTATGCCATTTATTTCATTTGTTTAATGTATAAAATACAAATCAAACTCAATCTGAGGAGGAATGTTCATTCTAGACCTAATGATGTTTGCCTTTTCTTTCAGTTTTAGGAGCTGCTTTAATGAGAAAGTGCCATAGACTGGAGAAGCAAACATGAGGGTGGCAGGTGAGGCACTTAATTTTGTAGAAATAATTTTGCTTTTTTTGTAGCCTGTTTGTTCAATAATGATGAAAGGAGAGAGCAAATAATCTTTCTCTGCAGGGCATGCAGAGGTGAAATCCGCACTGCCTTCGAGTCACTTCCAACTCGTAGTGACCCCTCCTTGTGTTTCTGAGGCAGTATCACTAAGGAGTAGATTGCCCCATCTTCCTTCCGAGGAGTGGCAGGTGGATATGAACCGCCAGCCTTCTGGTTAGCAGTCAAGTGCCTTAGGCACTATGCTACCAGAGCTCCATTTTTTAGCCTTATTACTGTTTCTGTATAATTGGCAAATATCAGATTGGACATTCAGTAAGTACTGCTAGCATGCTTCCCACACACACACACATTTTTGTTGAAGTTATTTATACTAAACATTTTAATTACGGTTTTAATGTCTCGTGTTCTTCTACATTAAGTTTATCTGCCCAAATAATGTATATAAATAATAATTTTGCCAATATAGGAAGGCTGTCTTTTGTTTTTGCTAAAGTTCTAACATGTTGAGAAAAATGAGTTGTAAAATGTAATCTTTAAAAATTTTTCTGTATACAAGGTATACTTAAACTAGTCTATGTAAAGGATTCAAAAACATACATAGTTTAGCTCAAGTGGCCATGTATTCATTAAACTGTCTTTATAACTGAGGTTGTATGTAAGAGGAATGATCTGTTCCTTAAGCAGTATATTCAGGTAATTGAATAACATGACTTGATGTATACAGTGTCAGGGTGGTGGTGATATTAGGTGCCATCAAATTGGCTCTCATTCATAGTGACTCTGTGTACAGGAGAGCAAAATAATGCCTGGTCCCTCCCCACCCTCGTAATCTTTGCTAGGTTTGAGCACATCATTGTAGCCACTGTGTCAGTCCACCTTGTTGAGGGCCTTCCCTTTTTCTGGTGACTCTCCCCTTTACCAAGCATGAGATCCTTCTCCAGGGACTGGTCCTTCCGACAACATGACCAAAGTAGGTGAGACGAAGTGTGGCTATTCTCGCTTCTAAGTCCAGGTCTCTGAACATTTCATTATAATGCTTTATCTTCCTGACCCACCCTTTGAAATCTTCTGCCCATCTCTTATGCTTCATCATTTCTTCCATTCACTTTAGCTACTTTCCATTCAACAGCAAGTTTCAGAGTTTCGTCAGACATCCATTTTGGTCTTTTCTTCCTTGCCTGTCTTTACTGACTTTCTGCTTTTTTCACATGTGATGTTGTTGATGTCATCCACTACTTGTCTGGTCTTTGGTCATTGGTTTTAGGCCATCATATCTATTCTTCAGATAGTCCTTAAATTGCAGATGTAATTTACTCAAGGTCATACTTTGGCTCTCATGAACTTGTTTGAATTTTCTTCAGCTTTAACTTGAACTTGCATATGAGCAGTTGGTGGTCTGTTCTACAGTCAGTTCCTGGCCTTGTTCTGACTAATGATACTGAGCTTCTCCATAACCTCTTTCCATAGGTGTAGTTAATTTGATTCCTATGCATTCTATCTGGTGAGGTTCATGTGTATAGTCACCATTTATGTTGTTGAAAAAGGTATTTACAATGAATAAATTGTTGGTCTTGCAAAATTCTATCATGTGGTCTCCCGCATCATTTCTGTCACCGAGGCCATCTTTGCCAACTACTTATGATTCTTTATTTCCAGCGTTCACATTCTAAACACCAGTAATTATCAATGCATGTAGATTGCATGTTTGATCAATTTCAGACTGCAGAACTTAGTAAAGTCTCCAATTTCTTCTTCTTTGGCATTAATGGTTGCTACACAAATTTGAATAATAGTTGTATTAACGAGGCATCCTCGCAGGTATATGGATATTATCCCGTCACTGATAGCATCGTACTTCAGCACAGATCTTGAAATGTTCTTTGTGACGATGCATGTGATGCCATTCCTGTTCAATATGTCCTTCCCAGCATAGTAGACCATGTGATTGTCTGATTCAAAATAGCTAATACCGGTCCTTCAGCTCACTGATGCCTAGGATACTGATCTTTATGCATTCCATTTCATTTTTACAACTTCTAATTTTCCTCCATTCATGCTTCATACATTCCATGTTCTGATTATAAATGGATGTTTGCAGCTGTTTCTTCCATTCCTGTTGGAGTTTGGCTCTCCTGTGCATGAAAAATGTAGACAGCTTGTGGTTGCTGTCACAAATAGGAAGTATAGTTTTTAGAGCAGACAAAGTAGGAAATAGGGGGCGGGAGAAGGGATTTTATGACTTTCTCATTGCCATCTTTCTTTATTAATAGAATGTTTCTAACGAGAAATGACTAGGTTCTGAGAAGCTGCTGGTAATTCTTCTATCTGAAGCCTTTCCAAG